AGCACAGCACACCATGGTGGAGACTATGAGGCAGCTAGGAGGCAGCACAGCACACCATGGTGGAGACTAGGAGGCAGCACAGCACACCATGGTGGCGACTAGGAGGCAGCACAGCACACCATAGTGGAGACTAGGAGGCAGCACAGCACACCATGGTGGCGACCAGGAGGCAGCACAGCAAACCATGGTGGAGACTAGGAGGCAGCACAGCAAACCATGGTGGCGACTAGGAGGCAGCACAGCACACCATAGTGGAGACTAGGAGGCAGCACAGCACACCATGGTGGCGACCAGGAGGCAGCACAGCAAACCATGGTGGAGACTAGGAGGCAGCACAGCAAACCATGGTGGCGACTAGGAGGCAGCACGGCAAACCATGGTGGAGACTAGGAGGCAGCACAGCACACCATGGTGGCGACTAGGAGGCAGCACAGCACACCATGGTGGAGACTAGGAGGCAGCTAGGAGGCAGCACAGCACACCATGGTGGAGACTAGGAGGCAGCACAGCAAACCATGGTGGCGACTAGGAGGCAGCACAGCACACCATGGTGGAGACTAGGAGGCAGCACAGCAAACCATGGTGGAGACTAGGAGGCAGCACAGCAAACCATGGTGGCGACTAGGAGGCAGCACAGCACACCATGGTGGAGACTAGGAGGCAGCACAGCAAACCATGGTGGCGACTAGGAGGCAGCACAGCAAACCATGGTGGAGACTAGGAGGCAGCACAGCAAACCATGGTGGAGACTAGGAGGCAGCACAGCAAACCATGGTGGAGACTAGGAGGCAGCGCAGCAAACCATGGTGGCGACTAGGAGGCAGCACAGCACACCATGGTGGAGACTAGGAGGCAGCACAGCAAACCATGGTGGAGACTAGGAGGCAGCACAGCAAACCATGGTGGCGACTAGGAGGCAGCACAGCACACCATGGTGGAGACTAGGAGGCAGCACAGCAAACCATGGTGGCGACTAGGAGGCAGCACAGCAAACCATGGTGGAGACTAGGAGGCAGCACAGCAAACCATGGTGGAGACTAGGAGGCAGCACAGCAAACCATGGTGGAGACTAGGAGGCAGCACAGCAAACCATGGTGGAGACTAGGAGGCAGCGCAGCAAACCATGGTGGCGACTAGGAGGCAGCACAGCACACCATGGTGGAGACTAGGAGGCAGCTAGGAGGCAGCACAGCACACCATGGTGGAGACTAGGAGGCAGCACAGCACACCATGGTGGAGACTAGGAGGCAGCACAGCACACCATGGTGGAGACTATGAGGCAGCTAGGAGGCAGCACAGCACACCATGGTGGAGACTAGGAGGCAGCACAGCACACCATGGTGGCAACTAGGAGGCAGCACAGCACACCATAGTGGAGACTAGGAGGCAGCACAGCACACCATGGTGGCGACCAGGAGGCAGCACAGCACACCATAGTGGAGACTAGGAGGCAGCACAGCACACCATGGTGGTGACTAGGAGGCAGCACAGCAAACCATGGTGGAGACTAGGAGGCAGCACAGCAAACCATGGTGGCAACTAGGAGGCAGCACAGCACACCATAGTGGAGACTAGGAGGCAGCACAGCACACCATGGTGGCGACCAGGAGGCAGCACAGCAAACCATGGTGGAGACTAGGAGGCAGCACAGCAAACCATGGTGGCGACTAGGAGGCAGCACGGCAAACCATGGTGGAGACTAGGAGGCAGCACAGCACACCATGGTGGCGACTAGGAGGCAGCACAGCACACCATGGTGGAGACTAGGAGGCAGCTAGGAGGCAGCACAGCACACCATGGTGGAGACTAGGAGGCAGCACAGCAAACCATGGTGGCGACTAGGAGGCAGCACAGCACACCATGGTGGAGACTAGGAGGCAGCACAGCAAACCATGGTGGAGACTAGGAGGCAGCACAGCAAACCATGGTGGCGACTAGGAGGCAGCACAGCACACCATGGTGGAGACTAGGAGGCAGCACAGCAAACCATGGTGGCGACTAGGAGGCAGCACAGCACACCATGGTGGAGACTAGGAGGCAGCTAGGAGGCAGCACAGCACACCATGGTGGAGACTAGGAGGCAGCACAGCACACCATGGTGGAGACTAGGAGGCAGCACAGCAAACCATGGTGCAGACTAGGAGGCAGCACAGCAAACCATGGTGGCGACTAGGAGGCAGCACAGCACACCATGGTGGAGACTAGGAGGCAGCACAGCAAACCATGGTGGCGACTAGGAGGCAGCACAGCAAACCATGGTGGAGACTAGGAGGCAGCACAGCAAACCATGGTGGAGACTAGGAGGCAGCGCAGCAAACCATGGTGGCGACTAGGAGGCAGCACAGCACACCATGGTGGAGACTAGGAGGCAGCTAGGAGGCAGCACAGCACACCATGGTGGAGACTAGGAGGCAGCACAGCACACCATGGTGGAGACTAGGAGGCAGCACAGCACACCATGGTGCAGACTAGGAGGCAGCACAGCAAACCAGGACAACACGGAGGAAAAGGCACAGACAAACTGCATGCTATGCTATTCAATGTTTATTGAATTCCATGTATTTGCAATGGATGTTCCTAAAACAACACATTTAACATCATCATCATCATCATCATCATCATGCTGCTGCTGCTAGTCCTTTGATAGTCACCTGTCCTTTCTGAAAGCCATAAAGATGACATTAGTCATTTAGATAACTTCCTCAATTACCATGGTTACTGAAACTACCATGACTTTAAGAAAATGGTAGACATTAATCTAATCTGAATTTTAAAGCATTACTTTAGATCCCCTCCCTCTAAATATATCAATAAACATTAGAAAGTGATGCTCCTGACTACCATACAAGTTTAAGAAGAGAATATTGGTTTGAAAGAATTCAAAGCTATAAATAAACAGCAACAGGCTCTTTAACCAAGGCAGCCTAACATGTAAACTAGTTGTTCACACTAATCCTAATATTATCACTTAATATTAGCAAATTCTATTTTATTTTTTAAAACATATTGATGTAAATACATACACATATTGATTTGTTGTATAAATATTGCAAATCAAAACCTTTATTCACTAATAATTACCAAAAATCGTAGTTCTATCTCCTGTTATCAATGCATTCACATTGCCCGCCATGAACTTCCGGGGAACGATCCTCTTCTACATGAACCACGTGGCGATAACCGTTTTTGGACTTCCGTTGTCGTAACTCTTCTATTATATGGCTCTGGCACAGATGATTTCGAGAAGACTGGATCACACTGTGGGACTTTGTGGAGGGAGAAGGGCTCTTTTCATTTAACATTTTGAATGGGACTTTGTGGGGATTTTTGGATGGGGGTGCATTTTTGTTCATTTTTTAAGGAGTGGGGTTGGGGGGGATGAGTAATATTTAACTCAACATTCCTGTTTTCGTTCTTCAATTAAACAAATAATTGTTTAATAAAATAAATAAAACTTGAAATGTCGTGTTTTTTTGTTTAATTTTGCATCGAATATTTCCAAAATTACCCAGCTTAACCTAGAGGTGAGACAGGTGAGAGAGAGAGAGAGAGAGAGAGAGAGAGAGAGAGAGAGAGAGAGAGAGAGAGAGAGAGAGAGAGAGAGAGAGAGAGAGAGAGAGAGAGAGAGAGAGAGAGAGAGAGAGAGAGAGAGAGAGAGAGAGAGAGAGAGAGAGAGAGAGAGAGAGAGAGAGAGAGAGAGAGAGAGAGAGAGAGAGAGAGAGAGAGAGAGAGAGAGAGAGAGAGAGAGAGAGAGACAGACAGGTGAGACGCAGACAGGGAGAGAGGTGAGAGACAGACAGGGAGAGAGGTGAGAGACAGAGGGGAGACAGGTGAGAGAGAGACAGGTGAGAGACAGACAGGGAGAGAGGTGAGCGACAGAGGGGAGACAGGTGAGAGAGAGACAGGTGAGAGACAGACAGGGAGAGAGGTGAGCGACAGAGGGGAGACAGGTGAGAGAGAGACAGGTGAGACAGACAGGGAGAGAGGTGAGACAGAGGGGAGACAGGTGAGAGAGAGACAGGTGAGAGACAGAGGGGAGACAGGTGAGAGAGAGACAGGGGAGAGACAGACAGGGAGAGAGGTGAGAGAGAGACAGGGAGAGAGGTGAGAGAGAGAGAGAGAGAGAGACAGACAGGTGAGACGCAGACAGGGAGAGAGGTGAGACAGGTGAGAGACAGACAGGTGAGAGGTGAGACAGACAGGTGAGAGGTGAGACAGACAGGTGAGAGACAGACAGGTGAGAGACAGACAGGGTGAGAGAGAGACAGGTGAGAGAGAGACAGGGAGAGAGGTGAGACAGGTGAGAGAGAGACAGGTGAGAGACAGACAGGTGAGAGACAGACAGGTGAGAGAGAGACAGGTGAGAGACAGACAGGTGAGAGACAGACAGGTGAGAGAGAGAGACAGGTAGAGAGAGACAGGTGAGAGAGAGACAGGTGAGAGACAGACAGGTGAGAGACAGACAGGTGAGAGAGAGAGAGGTGAGAGAGAGAGACAGATGAGAGACAGACAGGTGAGAGAGAGACAGGTGAGAGAGACAGGTGAGAGACAGACAGGTAAGAGACAGACAGGTGAGAGACAGACAGGTGACAGAGACAGGTGAGAGACAGACAGGTGAGAGAGAGACAGGTGAGAGAGAGACAGGTGAGAGAGAGACAGGTGAGAGACAGACAGGTGAGAGAGAGACAGGTGAGAGACAGGTGAGTGAGAGACAGGTGAGAGAGAGACAGGTGAGAGACAGGTGAGTGAGAGACAGGTGAGAGAGAGACAGGTGAGAGAGAGACAGGTGAGAGACAGACAGGTGAGAGAGAGACAGGTGAGAGAGAGACAGGTGAGAGACAGGTGAGTGAGACAGGTGAGAGAGAGACAGGTGAGAGACAGGTGAGTGAGAGACAGGTGAGAGAGAGACAGGTGAGAGACAGACAGGTCCACCTGCTGCTGGGTGATGGTATGAAAGTGTGTGGACTGGTTTGTGATGTGTTGGAGAGATCAGACAGGCAGAGGGTTATTGAATGTTTATTTGTTTACAGTGCAGGTTGTACATGTTTACTATTCATTTAGGTACAGGAAATGTTTCAGACATACAGCACGCTAAGATCATGCTAATGTTAACTAAGAAGCTCTCAGCATGACTCAGTGATCATCCGCTAATGCCCCGCCTTCACTTACTAGACTGTCAACACTAACGGGTAATACTGCCTGGTGGGTTAAAGGCGAAACAAGCTAATGATCTGGATTACATATAAATATATTTCAGTGTTAGGTTCATTAACATCTCAGAGCTGAGGTACCCAGAGGTTCCTGCTCTCAGGCCTCACCATCATAATAACAATAACAAACAATAATAATCATAATAATCGTAATAACCTGTGATATATGTCTGATTTAACACGTGTTGGATATACAGAATGACCCTTCAGGGTCTGCGCGGGGTCTCATGCCTCAGGTTGGGAAACCTCTGAAGACCGGATCCAGTCTGTTCTGATTGGACCCACAGCTGGAGCAAGCTACATAAAACTAAATGTTTTCAGAGGCTGTAACTGACAGGATATCCTACCACCTCCACTCAATAACAGATACAGAACAAACATTACCTAATATATTAATATATAGTATGACCTCATGCCTTCCATATGATTTGTTTAACTCTCTAATGACATCACCTATAAACGGTCTCCAGATGGTAAACACTATGAATCATGGGGTTTGTAGTTTTTACTGCTTGTAGTCTTTAGGAGTCACTTGCTGGACGGGTCGATGACGCGTCCGATGGACAGCACCAGGCCGCTCGCCTGCAGGTAGACGACGAAGATAAATGGTCTGTTGACCGTCAGTCGGGGGGGCAGTGTGGAGAAAACACTGGCTCCGCCTCCTGCACCGTCACCGTCGGCAACCGTCACCACAGCTTTATGAAAAACCTGAAACAACAAACAGGAAGTGTTGACAATAGACAGGAAGTGTTGACAACAGACAGGAAGTGTTGACAACAAACAGGAAGTGTTGACAATAGACAGGAAGTGTTGACAACAAAAAGGAAGTGTTGACAACAGACAGGAAGTGTTGACAATAGACAGGAAGTGTTGACAACAAACAGAAAGTGTTGACAACAAACAGGAAGTGTTGACAATAGACAGGAAGTGTTGACAACAAACAGGAAGTGTTGACAATAGACATGAAGTGTTGACAACAAACAGACTGTGAGTTTCACAGCTCCGCCCTCCCCCAGAGACTCACCTGTGTGAGTTTCACAGCTCCGCCCTCCCCCAGAGACTCACCTGGGTGAGTTTCACAGCTCCGCCCTCCCCCAGAGACTCACCTGTGTGAGTTTCACAGCTCCGCCCTCCCCCAGAGACTCACCTGTGTGAGTTTCACAGCTCCGCCCTCCCCCAGAGACTCACCTGGGTGAGTTTCCCAGCTCTGCCCTCCCCCAGAGACTCACCTGTGTGAGTTTCCCAGCTGCGCCCTCCCCCCAGAGACTCACCTGGGTGAGTTTCACAGCTCCGCCCTCCCCCAGAGACTCACCTGGGTGAGTTTCACAGCTGCGCCCTCCCCCCAGAGACTCACCTGGGTGAGTTTCACAGCTCCGCCCTCCCCCAGAAACTCACCTGGGTGAGTTTCACAGCTCCGCCCTCCCCCAGAAACTCACCTGGGTGAGTTTCACAGCTTCGCCCTCCCCCCAGAGACTCACCTGGGTGAGTTTCACAGCTTGGCCCTCCCACATGTTGCTCAGGTTGGCCTCCTCCTGGAACACCTGAGTGATGTTGAGAGTCTGCAGGACGTCACGCAGAGAGTAAGAGCGTTCCAACAGGAAGCGAGGAAGCTGCACCTCCAACTTCCTGTTTCGGAGCAAAAAATAAACAAGAAACTAAAATAAATCACGTCAAGAACGAGGATGGAAGGAATGAAGGAGTTAGGAGGTAGGACATGAGGATATAGGAGATAAGGGGTAGGAGGTAAGGGGTCAGGAGGTAGGAGGTAAGGCGTCAGGAGGTAGGAGATGAGGGGATAGGAGATAAGGGTATAGGAGGTAAGGGGTCAGGAGGCCTCACGTCTTCTTCAGCTGTCTGATCCAGGTCTGGATCTGGTCTCCGGTCACTGCCTCCTCCACTGAAGTGATGTCCACGTCTTCATCGGGCAGGACCAGCAACATGGCCGCCCCGCCGGCCATCGGCAGCTTCAGGACGCCGGCCTTCAGCCCGAGGTCGTAGGCCAGGAAGAACTTATCTGCCCGGAACATCATGGCAACCATAACCACGCGGTACTTGTTCACGTAGAACCGCTCGTCCTGGGTGAGGGACTCGTTAAAGGACGGACTGAACTTAACTGCAACACACAAACAACTTTATTTATACAACAAGACAAACATAGAAACAACACAATCCTCAATCAGGGGGTAACTCTGAACCTGGTATCAGAGGGTAACTCTGAGACTGGTATCAGGGGGTAACTCTGAAACTGGTATCAGGGGGTAACTCTGAAACTGGTATCAGGGGGTAACTCTGAAACTGGTATCAGGGGGTAACTCTGAAACTGGTATCAGGGGGTAACTCTGAAACTGGTATCAGAGGGTAACTCTGAAACTGGTATCAGGGGGTAACTCTGAAACTGGTATCAGAGGGTAACTCTGAAACTGGTATCAGAGGGTAAATCTGAAACTGGTATCAGGGGGTAACTCTGAAACTGGTATCAGAGGGTAACTCTGAAACTGGTATCGGGGGGGTAACTCTGAAACTGGTATCAGGGGGTAACTCTGAAACTGGTATCAGGGGGTAACTCTGAAACTGGTATCAGGGGGTAACTCTGAAACTGGTATCAGAGGGTAACTCTGAAACTGGTATCAGAGGGTAACTCTGAAACTAGTATCGGGGGGTAACTCTGAAACTGGTATCAGGGGGTAACTCTGAAATTGGTATCGGGGGTAACTCTGAAACTGGTATCGGGGGGTAACTCTGAGACTGGTATCAGAGGGTAACTCTGAAACTGGTATCGGGGGGTAACTCTGAAACTGGTATCGGGGGTAACTCTGAAACTGGTATCGGGGGGTAACTCTGAAACTGGTATCGGGAGGTAACTCTGAAACTGGTATAAGGGGGTAACTCTGAAACTGGTTTCGGGGGGTAACTCTGAGACTGGTATCAGAGAGTAACTCTGAAACTGGTATCGGGGGGTAACTCTGAGACTGGTATCAGAGGGTAACTCTGAAACTGGTATCGGGGGGTAACTCTGAAACTGGTATCGGGGGGTAACTCTGAAACTGGTATCGGGGGGTAACTCTGAAACTGGTATCGGAGGGTAACTCTGAAACTGGTATCAGAGGGTAACTCTGAACCTGGTATCAGGGGGTAACTCTGAAACTGATATTGGGGGGTAACTCTGAAACTGGTATCAGAGGGTAACTCTGAGACTGGTATCAGGGGGGTAACTCTGAAACTGGTATCGGGGGGTAACTCTGAAACTGGTATCGGGGGGTAACTCTGAAACTGGTATAAGAGGGTAACTCTGAGACTGGTATCAGGGGGTAACTCTGAGACTGGTATCAGGGGGTAACCCTGAAACTGGTATCGGGGGGTAACTCTGAAACTGGTATCAGAGGGTAACTCTGAGACTGGTATCAGAGGGTAACTCTGAAACTGGTATCAGAGGGTAACTCTGAAACTGGTATCAGGGGGTAACTCTGAAACTGGTATCGGGGGGTAACTCTGAAACTGGTATCGGAGGGTAACTCTGAGACTGGTATCAGGGGGTAACTCTGAGACTGGTATCAGGGGGTAACTCTGAGACTGGTATCAGGGGGTAACTCTGAAACTGGTATCAGGGGGTAACTCTGAAACTGGTATCGGGGGGTAACTCTGAAACTGGTATCAGGGGGTAACTCTGAAACTGGTATCAGAGGGTAACTCTGAGACTGGTATCAGGGGGTAACTCTGAGACTGGTATCAGGAGGTAACTCTGAAACTGGTATCAGGGGGTAACTCTGAAACTGGTATCGGGGGGTAACTCTGAGACTGGTATCAGAGGGTAACTCTGAAACTGGTATCGGGGGGTAACTCTGAAACTGGTATCGGGGGGTAACTCTGAAACTGGTATCGGGGGGTAACTCTGAGACTGGTATCAGAGGGTAACTCTGAAACTGGTATCAGAGGGTAACTCTGAAACTGGTATCAGGGGGTAACTCTGAAACTGGTATCGGGGGGTAACTCTGAAACTGGTATAAGGGGGTAACTCTGAAACTGGTATCGGGGGGTAACTCTGAAACTGGTATTGGGGGGTAACTCTGAGACTGGTATCGGAGGGTAACTCTGAAACTGGTATCAGAGGGTAACTCTGAAACTGGTATCAGAGGGTAACTCTGAAACTGGTATCAGAGGGTAACTCTGAGACTGGTATCAGAGGGTAATTCTGAAACTGGTATCGGGGGGTAACTCTGAAACTGGTATCAGGGGTAACTCTGACACTGGTATCGGGGGGTACCTCTGAGACTGGTATCAGAGGGTAACTCTGAAACTGGTATCAGAGGGTAACTCTGAAACTGGTATCAGAGGGTAACTCTGAAACTGGTATCAGAGGGTAACTCTGAAACTGGTATCGGGGGGTAACTCTGAAACTGGTATCGGGGGGTAACTCTGAATCTGGTATCAGGGGGTAACTCTGAAACTGGTATCAAGGGGGTAACTCTGAGACTGGTATCAGAGGGTAACTCTGAAACTGGTATCGGGGGGTAACTCTGAAACTGGTATCGGGGGGTAACTCTGAAACTGGTATCGGGGGGTAACTCTGAAACTGGTATCGGGGGGTAACTCTGAAACTGGTATCGGGGGGTAACTCTGAGACTGGTATCAGAGGGTAACTCTGAAACTGGTATCAGAGGGTAACTCTGAAACTGGTATCAGAGGGTAACTCTGAAACTGGTATCAGAGGGTAACTCTGAAACTGGTATCAGGGGGTAACTCTGAAACTGGTATCAGGGGGCAACTCTGAAACTGGTATCAGGGGGCAACTCTGAAACTGGTATCGGGGGGTAACTCTGAGACTGGTATCAGAGGGTAACTCTGAAACTGGTATCGGGGGTAACTCTGAGACTGGTATCAGAGGGTAACTATGAGACTGGTATCAGGGGGTAACTCTGAGACTGGTATCAGGGGTAACTCTGAAACTGGTATCAGAGGGTAACTCTGAAACTGGTATCGGGGGGTAACTCTGAAACTGGTATCAGGGGGTAACTCTGAGACTGGTATCAGAGGGTAACTCTGAAACTGGTATCAGAGGGTAACTCTGAAACTGGTATCGGGGGGTAACTCTGAAACTGGTATCAGGGGGTAACTCTGAAACTGGTATCGGGGGGTAACTCTGAAACTGGTATCAGAGGGTAACTCTGAAACTGGTATCAGGGGGTAACTCTGAAACTGGTATCAGGGGGTAACTCTGAAACTCGTATCGGGGGGTAACTTTGAGACTGATATCAGAGGGTAACTCTGAAACTCGTATCGGGGGGTAACTTTGAGACTGATATCAGAGGGTAACTCTGAAACTGGTATCGGGGGGTAACTCTGAAACTGGTATCGGGGGGTAACTCTGAAACTGGTATCGGAGGGTTACTCTGAGACTGGTATCAGGGGGTAACTCTGAAACTGGTATCGGGGGGTAACTCTGAAACTGGTATCAGAGGGTAACTCTGAAACTGGTATCAGGGGGTAACTCTGAGACTGGTATCAGAGGGTAACTCTGAAACTGGTATCGGGGGTAACTCTGAGACTGGTATCAGAGGGTAACTCTGAGACTGGTATCAGGGGGTAACTCTGAAACTGGTATCAGGGGGCAACTCTGAAACTGGTATCGGGGGGTAACTCTGAGACTGGTATCAGAGGGTAACTCTGAAACTGGTATCGGGGGTAACTCTGAGACTGGTATCAGAGGGTAACTCTGAGACTGGTATCAGGGGGTAACTCTGAGACTGGTATCAGGGGTAACTCTGAAACTGGTATCAGAGGGTAACTCTGAAACTGGTATCGGGGGGTAACTCTGAAACTGGTATCAGGGGGTAACTCTGAGACTGGTATCAGAGGGTAACTCTGAAACTGGTATCAGAGGGTAACTCTGAAACTGGTATTGGGGGGTGACTCTGAAACTGGTATCAGAGGGTAACTCTGAGACTGGTATCAGAGGGTAACTCTGAAACTGGTATCAGAGGGTAACTCTGAAACTGGTATCGGGGGGTAACTCTGAGACTGGTATCAGAGGGTAACTCTGAAACTGGTATCGGGGGGTAACTCTGAAACTGGTATCAGGGGGTAACTCTGAAACTGGTGTCAGGGGGGTAACTCTAAGACTGGTATCAGAGGGTAACTCTGAAACTGGTATCGGGGGGGTAACTCTGAGACTGGTATCGGGGGGTAACTCTGAGACTGGTATCGGGGGTAACTCTGAGACTGGTATCGGGGGGTAACTCTGAGACTGGTATCAGGGGGTATCTCTGAAACTGGTATCGGGGGGTAACTCTGAACCTGGTATCGGGGGGTAACTCTGAGACTGGTATCGGGGGGTAACTCTGAAACTGGTATCGGGGGGTAACTCTGAACCTGGTATCGGGGGGTAACTCTGAAACTGGTATCGGGAGGTAACTCTGAGACTGGTATCGGGGGGTAACTCTGAACCTGGTATCGGGGGTAACTCTGAACCTGGTATCGGGGGGTAACTCTGAGACTGGTATCAGAGGGTAACTCTGAAACTAGTATCGGGGGGTAACTCTGAACCTGGTATCGGGGGGTAACTCTGAGACTGGTATCGGGGGGTGACTCTGAAACTTACCCTGGTAAGCAGCAGCAGTGGCGATCAGCAGCTGGGTCTGGGGGTCCAGGTCGGTCACCAGCTCCCTGACGGTGTCTCCGGTCCATTCCTGAGCCAACAGGTTGATGGTGCTGGCCGCTTCCAATGGTGACGTGTAGGCCAGACTTGTAGCGTTCCCTCCAAACTTGGTCTGAACCAGGTCCAGGAAGGACGAGGACACCTGGAGGCCTTGTCTGGGGAGGAGGGCCGTGCCCTGCCTCAGGTTCATGTCACGACTGCCATCCTGTACTGCGGTCCTGAGACTCTGGAACAGGTCTGAGGACAGATTCTGGATTACTGACCATCATGAGGTCTCAGAGACTGACTGACGGTACTCATCATGTGAGCCGAAACCAGTTTACACCGGCTTTATTTTACATTTCCTACTTCCTGATTGAACCATCTTCTTGGCCCTTGAGTTGGATCTGGATCATCCCAGCCGGAGTAAGATGCTGTTATCCCTGTAATCAAAACCTTTAGTGGCCATAAACTGCCTGTCTCTATAAACCTGGTTCCTAACTGGTGGCAGTCGCTCAGTCTGTAGGGACTTGGTCCTGGAACCAAAGGGTCGTGTGAGCTGGTAGCTAGAGAGGTGGCGTTTGTGCATATACAGTACCAGTCAAAAGTTTAGACACACCTTCTCATTCAATGGTTTTTGTTTATTTGTATGTGTTTCTACTTTGTAGATTAATACTGAAGACATCAAAACTATGAAAGAACTCATGGAATTATCTAGTTAACAAAAAACAAATCCAGAATATGATTTTTAATTTAGATTATTCAAAGTAGCCCCCTTTCGCCTTGATGACAGCTTTGCTCTCTCTTGGCTTCTGGCTTGGAAGCATGGAGGAGGAAGTGTGATGGGGGGGGGGGGACCTGGTTCCTACCTGGGAGGCTCTGGGGGTCCAGGCCCTGCAGACGGAGGCCTTGCAGCAGCTGGTCCTGGGTCGGTCCGGCAGCAGCGCTCAGCAGCGGCAGCAGCGCGGAGGACAAAGTGAAGACGGACAGGAAGACGTTGTCGTCTGTCCGGCTGGAGACTGCGCGGTACAGCCGGGTCGCAAAGTCTGAGTTCCTATTGGTCAGGTCCTGTAGAGAGGCGGGCTGACAGGAGGCAAGCAGCAGGAGGCCGACCAATGAGAGAGGAGCACAGGGAGCCATGGTAACAGCGCCCTCTGTGAAGGAGAGGGGAACATCACTAACATGCTAACTGCTATCATTATTACCATACACAGATCAATACAAATATACTTAAGATGGACGACTGCAATGCACTCCTCATCGGGATCCCCAACAAAAGCATCCAGAAGCTCCAATACATTCAGAACAGTGCTGCTAGGATCCTGATGAGGGTGCGCAAATATGAACACATCACCCCCATCCTTAAAGCACTACACTGGCTACCCGTGGAACTGAGGATCGAATTCAAGGTCTCCGTCCTCACCCACCAGTGTGTCCATGTAACTGCCCCTCCCTACCTCAACGAACTCCTCACCCCCCATACCTCCTTGCGGACCACCCGCTCCAGCAACTCCAACTTCCTCAAACCCCCCAGGACTAAGCTCCGTACTTTGGGAGACCGGGCCTTCTGCTCGGCTGCTCCCAGTCTGTGGAATGCTCTCCCCGACCACATGAGAGCACCACAGACCGTGGAGGCTTTTAAAAAAGGCCTCAAAACCCATCTCTTCAAAAGAGCCTTTGCCTAGACCAGGGGTCGGCAACCCGCGGCCCACAGGCCGCATGCGGCCCTTTAAGCCCTCTGCTCTGGCTCCCTTGAGCTTAGACAAAAATAAGAAGGAAATAAAATAAAAGTATTTGTACGACTATTTATATTTTGTTGCATGGTTGAAAATGTTTCGTATCTTGTATTTTGAGGTGATACTGTGACACATAAATAAAAAACAAAACGGTTTTAATTAGGTCAACTAAAATATGCGTCACATCCTGCTACGGTCCCGCGCGAGCGCCTTTTCTTGGAGGCGAATAACCTGACCCCCGGCTCGATGAGCGAACTATGGATAAAGAAACGAAAAGTACCGGAGGAACACAGGATTTAATTCTGTGTGGACAGAGTTATCTGCTTTCACAGCAAACGATGCTGGTTTACCGGTATGTCTGATATGTAGAGAGAAGTTGTCAACGGTGCTGCAGCCTTTACGTATAGAGGAACAACGCGGGAACAACACGGGAGAGGAAGACAGCTGACGATCTTCAGTCATAATTCAATGGGGTATGTCATTTATTTCAGAAAACACTTGTTGTTATATTCCATGGAATGCTCTTAACGTCCCGATAGCAATGAATATATTAAATGCTTTGACAATAAATACATACAAAAATTAATCTCTGGAAGCCGTAGCGCTGTAAAAAGCACGACCAATCATCTGAGCCGGCTAAAGTAACTGGATGGCCTACCTGCCTGTCAGCCTTCCATCTGTGCACAAACTCATCTCGTGCCCTCATTGGTCATGTGCACGTTCGTGTGTGTTGGAGGAGGGGCTCTGTGAAGAAGTCTGAAGGCATATTTTTTCTTTCCGGTTGTGTACTTTCAAATTCTAGCGCACTCGAGCTGGTTTCTCCATTCTTACCCACCTTTAACTCTTTTTAGGGTGCAGCTATATGTTTTATTTATTTCAAAGTGGACCCATTTTAATAATATTTGTTTTCCCTTCAAATGTGCAGAGGACTCCCCTAGTGCTGTGTTTAATTTATTTTAAAGTAGGCCTGTGTATTATTTGTAATTCTCCTTATAAGAGTTATTTGTTTCTTATTAGAGGTTAACAGTTTTATATCATGTAATAAATAGCCTAATAAATGCAAAAAAACTGTAGTTTTTGTCTGATATAACAATAAAAAACTATGAAATGTGTTTTGCGGCTCCAGACAAAAAAATGTTTTGGAAAAAGGAGCAAAATGGCTCTTTTGGTCAAAAAGGTTGCAGACCCCTGGGATAGACCTTTTATCACCCTTTTATTTATTTTGTATTGCTTTTTATTCATTCTACCGTGTTGTGTCATGTTTATTTATACTATTCATGCTCACTACTTGTAGCACTTCGGGATATGAAATCAAATATGAAGTGCTTTATAAATGGAACCCATTATTATTATTATTAAGATAAAATATGTATACGATATAAATACATCATATATGTAATATTTAAATATACACACACACACAGCCTAAAAAGCACAAACACACACACCGTTACAAACACACACACACCGTTACACACACACACACACCGTTACAAACACACACACACACCGTTACAAACACACACACACACACCGTTACAAACACACACACACCCTTACAAACACACACGGTGTGTGTGCTTGTAAGGGTGTGTCTGTTTGTGCTTTTTAGGCTGTGTGTGTGCTTGTAAGGGTGTGAGTGTGTGCGCGTGCGTGTGCTTGTAAGCACACACACACACACAGCCTAAAAAGCACAGACACACTCTTGCAAGCAGACACATACACACACACCCTTACGTGCACACACAAACACACGCACACCCTTAAAAGCACATGCCCGCACATAAACCAACACACACCTTTGTTGATCTTCTTTGTGTTTCAGTATTTTCCCGAGATGCGCATCACCATGAACATCGAGCCGTGTTCAATCAGCATCACTTCCAGTCACTGATTTTCAAAATAAACCTTCCGTCCCCACGCAGGGCCCCCGATCAGACTCCAGGCGGCCCGGAGAGGAGGCGTGAAGTTATCTTTGCTTTGACATAACAATTCATATGTAGATTAAACTAAATGTGAAACAAACAGCGTCCCGCTTCACTCCGTGGCAGCGCTCCAACACTTTCACGCTTTTATTGTGAAGACGCCTTTTCCGGACCTCATTTTCTCTAACAACAACATAACCGCGCATGCGCACTGGGAGCAGCCTGATGTCATTGCCTTACCTGTGCAAGTCAACAGGGGGCGCTGCAGCAGCACGAGACACTATGGCCCTTTCTCATGTCATGTGTGTGTGGTACAGTGTGTAGGTGTGTGTGGTAGCCTACAGTGTGTGCGTAGATGCAGCGGACAGACAAGTCTCAGTTGGTTTGGTGTCCTCTGCTTACTTTTAATACTTGCAAATAAAACGTTGGGCCCGTAATGTATTTCCCTCATTGTAGCGACCAGAGAGGGGGGGGGGGTGTTACGTTATTATGAGAGTGCTCTGTTTGATTCTGAAATTGTATATATTTATATAAATATATATATGTGTGTGTGTGTGTGTGTGTGTGTGTGTGTGTGTGTGTGTGTGGTGTGTGTGTGTGTGTGTGTGTGTGTGTGTGTGTGTGTGTGTGTGTGTGTGTGTGTGGGTGTGTGTGTGTGTGTGTGTGTGTCCTCATCTGTAACTGTTATTGTCTCATTACACCGCACTGTGAATGAATCAAAGTAAATATAGAAGTGGTCATGAACACATCTGTCCATCAGACAGAGGGCTGCTGTGCCTCCTGTCATCATTAATGGACGTCTCTTTAAAGTGAGAGAGGAGAGGAGTTCTCCTTTCTCTAACCGCCTGCTGCTTCCCCTCCTCTCTCCTCGGCTCCCCTCCTCAGTCCTCCGCTCGCATCTCCTGCGGGTGGGACTAAGTCTCGAGGATAGGAGTCGAGGAGGGAAGTCGAGGAGGGGAGTTAGAGAAATGAGATGTCCCATATAACATATATGAAATATACAATATATAAAATATACAATACGTGCTTGAGTGTGTGTGTGTGTGTGTGTGTGTGTGTGTGTGTGTGTGTGTGTGTGTGTGTGTGTGTGTGTGTGTGTGTGTGTGTGTGTGTGTGTGTGTATATATATGTGTGTGTGAACAGGAAGCGTCATCAAGCGTCGCTGGGTGAATCCAGAGCCCTGGGTGAATCCATTATGCTTGCGGGGGGTGCTCCCGGTATCAAACCTGAATCCATTCCGCTATCCGGACTGCGGTTTTATTTATATTATCAAATAAATATAAAACACATGATATTATATTTATAATGATAGTGTTTGTTTACGGAGACACGTGGTTCCTCCTCACAACTGCTTCATCTTCCTGCGCCAACAGCGCTGAGCTCCAGATGGCGTCATTAGACCGCGCCACAGGAAGAAAACAAACGGTCAGTTTCATATTGTTATATAAAACTACTGTTATGATACCTATTATATACATTTACTACTGTTGTTATACTTATTATATACGTGTACTAATGTTATGATACGATCTGTTATCTTATTATCGATCTGTATTCAGTAACATCAACAGGACATCATAGATAATAACACATTTATATAATGATATCACATGTACTATATATAATAATCCAACCCTTACCCTAGGGTTAGGGATTAGCATTAGCAGTGAATACAGTAGTAATGGTATCAGTAGCATCAGTAGCATTAGCAGTGAATACAGTAGTAATGGTATCAGTAGCATCAGTAGCATTAGCAGTGAATACAGTAGTAATGGCATCAGTAGCATCAGTAGCATTAGCAGTGAATCAAGTAGTAATGGTATCAGTAGCATTAGTAGCATTAGCAGTGAATACAGTAGTAATGGCATCAGTAGCATCAATAGCATTAGCAGTGAATACAGTAGTAATGGTATCAGTAGCATCAGTAGCATTAGCAGTGAATTAAGTAGTAATGGCATCAGTAGCATCAGTAGCATTAGCAGTGAATACAGTAGTAATGGCATCAGTAGCATTAGCAGTGAATACAGTAGTAATGGTATCAGTAGCATCAGTAGCATTAGCAGTGAATAAAGTAGTAATGGTATCAGTAGCATCAGTAGCATTAGCAGTGAATACAGTAGTAATGGCATCAGTAGCATCAGAAGCATTAGCAGTGAATACAGTAGTAATGGTATCAGTAGCATCAGTAGCATTAGCAGTGAATACAGTAGTAATGGCATCAGTAGCATCAGTAGCATTAGCAGTGAATACAGTAGTAATTGTATCAGTAGCATCAGTAGCATTAGCAGTGAATAAAGTAGTAATGGTATCAGTAACATTAGTAGCATTAGCAGTGAATACAGTAGTAATGGTATCAGTAGCATCAGTAGCATTAGCAATGAATACAGTAGTAATGGTATCAGTAGCATCAGTAGCATTAGCAGTGAATACAGTAGTAATGGCATCAGTAGCATCAGTAGCATTAGCAGTGAATACAGTAGTAATGGCATCAGTAGCATCAGTAGCATTAGCAGTGAATAAAGTAGTAATGGTATCAGTAGCATTAGCAGTGAATACAGTAGTAATGGCATCAGTAGCATTAGTAGCATTAGCAGTGAATACAGTAGTAATGGTATCAGTAGCATCAGTAGCATTAGCAGTGAATACAGTAGTAATGGCATCAGTAGCATCAGAAGCATTAGCAGTGAATACAGTAGTAATGGTATCAGTAGCATCAGTAGCATTAGCAGTGAATACAGTAGTAATGGCATCAGTAGCATTAGCAGTGAATACAGTAGTAATTGTATCAGTAGCATCAGTAGCATTAGCAGTGAATAAAGTAGTAATGGTATCAGTAGCATTAGTAGCATTAGCAGTGAATACAGTAGTAATGGCATCAGTAGCATTAGCAGTGAATACAGTAGTAATGGCATCAGTAGCATCAGTAGCATTAGCAGTGAATACAGTAGTAATGGTATCAGTAGCATCAGTAGCTTTAGCAGTGAATAAAGTAGTAATGGTATCAGTAGCATTAGCAGTGAATACAGTAGTAATGGCATCAGTAGCATCAGTAGCATTAGCAGTGAATACAGTAGTAATGGCATCAGTAGCATCAGTAGCATTAGCAGTGAATACAGTAGTAATGGTATCAGTAGCATCAGTAGCATTAACAGTGAATACAGTAGTAATGGCATCAGTAGCATCAGTAGCATTAACAGTGAATACAGTAGTAATGGTATCAGTAGCATCAGTTGCATTAGCAGTGAATACAGTAGTAATGGTATCAGTAGCATCAGTAGCATTAGCAGTGAATACAGTAGTAATGGTATCAGTAGCATCAGTAGCATTAGCAGTGAATACAGTAGTAATGGTATCAGTAGCATCAGTAGCATTAACAGTGAATACAGTAGTAATGGCATCAGTAGCACTAGCAGTGAATACAGTAGTAATGGCATCAGTAGCATCAGTAGCATTAACAGTGAATACAGTAGTAATGGCATCAGTAGCATTAGCAGTGAATACAGTAGTAATGGTATCAGTAGCATCAGTAGCATTAGCAGTGAATACAGTAGTAATGGCATCAGTAGCATTAGCAGTGAATACAGTAGTAATGGTATCAGTAGCATCAGTAGCATTAGCAGTGAATACAGTAGTAATGGTATCAGTAGCATTAGCAGTGAATACAGTAGTAATGGTATCAGTAGCATCAGTAGCATTAGCAGTGAATACAGTAGTAATGGTATCAGTAGCATCAGTAGCATTAGCAGTGAATACAGTAGTAATGGTATCAGTAGCATCATTAGCATTAGCAGTGAATACAGTAGTAATGGTATCAGTAGCATTAGCAGTGAATACAGTAGTAATGGTATCAGTAGCATCAGTAGCATTAGCAGTGAATACAGTAGTAATGGTATCAGTTGCATCAGTAGCATTAGCAGTGAATACAGTAGTAATGGCATCAGTAGCATCAGTAGCATTAACAGTGAATACAGTAGTAATGGCATCAGTAGCATTAGCAGTGAATACAGTAGTAATGGTATCAGTAGCATCAGTAGCATTAGCAGTGAATACAGTAGTAATGGTATCAGTAGCATCAGTAGCATTAGCAGTGAATACAGTAGTAATGGTATCAGTAGCATTAGCAGTGAATACAGTAGTAATGGTATCAGTAGCATCAGTAGCATTAGCAGTGAATACAGTAGTAATGGTATCAGTAGCATCAGTAGCATTAACAGTGAATACAGTAGTAATGGTATCAGTAGCATCAGTAGAATCAGTAGCATTAGCAGTGAATACAGTAGAAATGGCATCAGTAGCATCAGTAGCATTAGCAGTGAATACAGTAGTAATGTAATCAGTAGCATCAGTAGCATTAACAGCGAATACAGTAGTAATGGCATCAGTAGCATCAGTAGCATGAGCAGTGAATAAAGTAGTAATGGCATCAGTAGCATCAGTAGCATTAGCAGTGAATACAGTAGTAATGGCATCAGTAGCATCAGTAGCATTAACAGTGAATACAGTAGTAATGGTATCAGTAGCATCAGTAGCATTAACAGTGAATACAGTAGTAATGGTATCAGTAGCATCAGTAGCATTAGCAGTGAATACAGTAGTAATGGCATCAGTAGCATCAGTAGCATTAGCAGTGAATACAGTAGTAATGTAATCAGTAGCATCAGTAGCATTAACAGTGAATACAGTAGTAATGGCATCAGTAGCATCAGTAGCATGAGCAGTGAATAAAGTAGTAATGGCATCAGTAGCATCAGTAGCATTAGCAGTGAATACAGTAGTAATTGTATCAGTAGCATCAGTAGCATTAACAGTGAATACAGTAGTAATGGTATCAGTAGCATCAGTAGCATTAGCAGTGAATACAGTAGTAATGGCATCAGTAGCATCAGTAGCATTAGCAGTGAATACAGTAGTAATGGTATCAGTAGCATCAGTAGCATTAACAGTGAATACAGTAGTAATGGCATCAGTAGCATTAGCAGTGAATACATTAGTAATGGCATCAGTAGCATCAGTAGCATTAACAGTGAATACAGTAGTAATGGCATCAGTAGCATCAGTAGCATTAGCAGTGAATACAGTAGTAATGGTATCAGTAGCATCAGTAGCATTAGCAGTGAATACAGTAGTAATGGCATCAGTAGCATTAGCAGTAAATACAGTA